CGGGGAGCAGGAGTAGCTGATATCGAACACTAGTTGAAGTATTCGGTTGATGAGTGCGATTCGAGCCTAATATTGGGCAGTAGTTATTTCATGGATGGTTCGGTCTGATGAAAAGAAATTAGTAGTGCGATTTATGTGCTGATTTTCTGAAAATTGATCCATAACATGAATGTATAGATGTATATATGTCATTTCAAATAGATGTGTTGTTGTAAGAAAATAGATTCGAGCAGGTTGTAAGAATGAGCGTTTGAATGGAAACGAGACGTCGTTGCTGGATGAAATAGTTGACGATGGCATCTGTGGTTTTATATTTCCGAAAGCTTTGTTACGTCGTTACGATATACGCATACAACCAATCGCGTTAACGTTCGTTTTTTCAGTGCTTCTTTTCTTTTTTTTTAAATCTTCATTTTTTTGGTCATTTAAAAATTTCTTGAAGCTGCTCACTGACCTGGATGGATGAGATTTCATGAAAGTGAGTTATTGTTGAGAGGCTTATAAGTATACTGAGTGAGGAACGCTATCGAGCAAATTATCGCACAGTATTAGCGAATGAGCTCATTCAAGAAAGTTGACTTCAGATTAGGAGTTGATCGATTGATTAATTTATTGATCAGCAGCTCATAAAGAGTTTGATTTTTATCAGTCGACAATTAATTTAAGTGCATATTCAATATTCGTTCGTGTACTTTCAGTTTTCACGTTTCCCTTCGTTTACATGGATAGTTTTTCTGGGGGAGTTGTACGTTCATATGAAAATGAAATGTAATGAAAATGAAATGTCGGTGCTAGAATGTGCTGGAGGGAAATGAGATTTAATATTGTTTATTCATACTGATCTTATCATTTGTTTCAAGTATTGATAAACAAGAACGATTACTTTCAATATGTGATAATGAACGGAATTTGCAAACATTCTGCTCATTTTTCGATTGGCCACCTGAGGTATTGCAGTAATAATGTTAACAATGCAATCATTAATAGCAATTACATTACCAGTGTTAATGTTCAGTAATAATTATGAACAGTTATCTCTTATTACATAAATTTTCACGCGAGAATAACTCTAAAAATTGAGCCATCCAAAAATATTCAGGCAAATAATTGAACCTTTCAAATTTCTCTGAATAATCATGAACATTCAGCAAAAAATGAAGTGTATAATGTTGATCAGTCATGAAAATCCATTGTCAATGCGCTGCACTGAACGATTGCTAAAGTGGTTGTGGCATGTGAATGGATCACAACCGGAGGATCACAATCAGATTGCTTTATGCGGTGGTGCGTTGAGTTTCGTTCAAATGGAACACACTCTGCAACAACATTCGATCACTCACTCGTACATATTATTACTATCTCAATCTATCGTTGTTTTGAAGTTCGAATAAACTTTTAATCCATGTCGCGACGGAGCGCGAAAGAGACGATTCGTGAGGGAGACCAAAGTGATATGTGAAATCAACCTTCAGATCTGTGCTTTAGCTGAATATGTATAAGATGTACACGGATACCATGCACTATTGATTCGCATGATGAAACTTAACTTTCGTATATCTCATTTGAACGATCTCCTCCCTTTTTTGTTTGTATCTTATGAATGCTTTGTGTTTCGGCATATAATACAGTGTTATTACAAAATAAACGCCGAAAATGCATTCATTATTCAAATCATTTCAAGTGTTTATTCATTTATTGCGAACGAACTTCTTTCAGACGACCCGAACAATCAGAGGAAGTAGCAGAAGAAGAAACGGCTAGTATGGTTGGCATAATATTTGGTGGTAATTCATTAAACGCTTCATCATTCATCCTATCAAAACATATCGTTGAAAGAGAAGATGTTGAGAAAGAATTAGTACAATGGAAGGTATTATCAGTGGTGTTGTTGTCAGATTTTGTTATCTTATTAATATTACACTAAATTGTTATCGAAAGAAATGTTACTGTTATCAAATTTTCATTATTGCTGTCGCATTCAAAATTATTACTGTAATTGTTAAATATGCAGATTATATCACAATATGCACAACCACTCGCTTGAAACGCTTTTGGTCTTCTTCAATGGAGTTAAAGTGTTTTTTAGAAA